TATAATATCTTTTCATATCTTTAATTTTTGTTTGAAATACAAATAATGGTTTTAATAAAATTCTAACAAAATCTTTTTAAAATCTTTTAGAATCTTTTTCAAGATATAGCTTCAAAAATTATTTGATTAAAATTTTAATTATCATAAAATATAATTAAATTTTTAATTCGTTTTTAATTTATAAACAAAAAATTAAAATTATGTAAAATACTTTTAACAATGTCCCAGATTTTTTTTATGTATTAAGTAAGTCTAACTTAATTAATTTTTACATAGATTTCAAATTTAAAAATAAATCAAAATATATAAATTAGTAATCTTACATAATAATGTTTTTAAACATTGTTACAAAAATACAAATTTATAAATTTTATATAAATAATATTATAAGTCACATAAAAATTATTATAAAATTGGATAGCATATAGAACCAAATTATACTTATTTATTGATATATTTTATTATATAATTTGAAATATTTTTGTATTAAATTATCCGCACGGTTGTGCGGGTCGAAATCTAGTTATCTTAATGGAAGAGATCTTATGTGTGTGTGCCTGTGTGAATGGGGTTTATAGCCCATTAGACTCATGAACTAGGTGAATGCCTTAACGTGTTCATTATAAAAGAGCAAGCAAAGCACACGACAAAACCCTACAGCCATTAGAGGTGCATTGTTCGTTAAAGTTAGTGATGGGAGTGGTTTAGCTCAAAATACCAAAAGAAGTAGATATTTAAGGATTTGTCATATTTTAGGGGGAATATTAGTGATGGGGGGAAGGAAAGAGAAGAGAGAAATACGGTATGGAGCTAAATAAGGTGTTTTGTGTGTGTATGGAGTGCAAATACTCAAGTTTTTTTTGGGATTTTGATCTTGACACATTAGTACCCCGGATCCAGATTGTGTACATGTGGATATCTGTAGATGCACATCATATGGAGTTTTAAACTTCGATGCATTATTTGTTATACTGCAAAATGCCCAGATATATTCGAAACTATAATATATAGATTTGTTTCAGTATTTTTACGAGATATTGGCAAATTGAATTCACAAGATATATACATCATTATAAACTGGTATGATTTTCTTTCCCCTTGCCTATCATATCTTCTATCCACAGTGTCCTAAATCACCAATATCTAAGAACTTTGGAGAGGTAAAGGAGTTGCTATCTCTGAGATCTCAATAACCCGTTTAAGCTGAGAGATATGGAAAATAGTGTGAAATTTTGACGATTCCGGTAAACGCAATTTATATGTCACCTTTCTAACACGAGCAATGATTTCAAGAGGCCCATAGAACCTTGCTGCTTACTTCTTAAACAGTCTGCAACTTACTGATTGTTGCATGTTCAACCGTATTTAAGATAAGCCTGGGTTCCCACCTCAAACTCCAAGTCCCTGCGAAGTTTATTAGCATTTTTATCCATCTAATTTAGGACACACATCTAGTTCTCCTTTATAGACACCAAAACTAGTTCATGTTCCTTCAACAACTCATCTACTTCAAATTTCTTTGTGAAACCAACTTCCTAAGCTAACGAAGTTGGAGGATCATGTCCATATACGAGTTTGAAAATCTACATTGTAATGGTATATGGTATAAAATACTATACCATAACTCAACTAAAAAAATATTTGACCATTTATTTGGATAAGTTTATGCAAAACAACCCAAATAAATTTTCAAACATCTATTCAAAATTTTTGGTCTGGCCATCGGACTATGGTGCCGTATAGAAAAAAAAAGGTCTAGTGTTTGAAAATTTGAAACACTCGTTCCGGAATCTGCTAAGACTTGCAATAACATCACATACAAAGATAAGACCAGCAAGAAACACCACACTTGGAACAAAAAAGAGCTAATTTACTTGGAATTCCTTTATCGCAAGAGCAACAACTTTAGAATCTTATTTTTTCATAGGAAGGTCCATGATCTTCATATGTTTAAGAACAATCTCAACCTGAAACCAGAATACACAATCTTCCTATATAGTCAAATAAAAAGACACGTGGCTTAATGTAAGTGGTTGATATTGTTAACTAAAGATGTGTCTACGAACAGAGGATTATAAATAGCTTTCGTCATCCTCAGTCATAAAGGATCAATCTTTCTTCTCCACTCTCTCATTTTCCCTCTCTCTCTCTCTCCCTTATCCCAATACTTCGAAGCCTCTCTTCCTTCCTTCATCTTCTTCGTGGCTTCTGCTCTGCCGCCCAACAATGGCGGTTTTCGGTGGAGCTAATCTTGGTTCTGTTTCATTCTCCTCTCATCTGTTCAACCAACAGTCTTGTTTTCTCTCTGGTCCTCTTAGACTCCTCCCTTCTTCTTCAAATAGAACTTCTCTCCTCTGCGTCGTCAAGTCCTTTTCCGGCTCCGTAATCGCCGATACAGACACAAGTTCCGATCAATCCTCCAATCCCCTTCTCAGGGACGATGCCGGATCCGCTCGGGTGCGTTCTACTGCTTACCCATCTCTTATTTTGATCCAAAGTTCCTGTCTTTGCGTCTACATGCTCGCTTTTAGTGTAACTGATGGTTTTGTTAATGAAGTAGATGTCTACCGATTGGAAGCTGGCGAAAGCTTATTGTAAGAGTGGTGACACGTTTGAAGGTGAGGTCGAAGGCTTTAATGGTGGAGGCTTGCTTATTCGTTTTCATTCTCTTGTCGGTTTTCTTCCTTATCCACAGCTAAGCCCTTCACGTTCTTGTAAAGGTACTTCTCTTGTTCCATTCCTGTTTTGTGTTTCTTTGGAAGAAGAATCGTTGATGGTTTTGTGCTTTCTTACAACTGCAGAGCCTCAGAAAAGCATTCATGAGATAGCTAAGACTTTGGTTGGTTCAACACTTCCTGTTAAGGTAACCCTTGTTTCTTTTTAATTCTAAGCTCCATAATCAATTTCATTTCTAGAGGTTAAATATATATATATACAGGTTGTTCAAGCTGATGAGGAGAACAAAAAGTTGATCTTATCTGAGAAGTTAGCACTATGGCCAAAGTATTCACAAAACGTTAACGTTGGGGATGTATTTACCGGGAGAGTAGGTTCTGTTGAGGACTATGGTGCATTTATCCACTTGCGCTTCGATGATGGTATTCGTATTTTGCTTCTTTCTTTTTACCAAATTCCTTTCTTCTTCTTCTTCTTCTTCTGAGCTTTGACATTGCTGGAAACATATATATTGGTAGGTCTTTATCATCTAACGGGACTAGTCCATGTCTCTGAGGTCTCGTGGGATTACGTTCAAGATGTTAGAGATGTATTACGCGATGGTGATGAGGTTCGGGTTATAGTCACAAATATCGACAAGTAAGTTTTTCTTCTTTTTTTTTTTGGTTACTACATTTTATTAGTCATTGATGATACTTATCAAGAGTTGTTGCGATGATGCAGAGAGAAATCAAGGATTACACTATCTATCAAACAACTGGAAGACGATCCTCTTCTAGAGACATTGGACAAAGTGATTTTGAAGGTAATAATACTATGTGAAAATGTGTTTCTTTTGTTTGGTTTTTAGATATTTATAAGAGACAATTGGATGTTATTACAGGACAGCTCTAGTGGATCTCCTTCGCTAAGCTCGAACAATGGGGATACAATTGAAGCTCTTCCAGGTCTGGAAACTATACTTGAAGAGCTATTGCAAGAAGACGGGTATAGTAGTCAAATATCATTTTATAATCTGGAAAACAAATGAAAGTTGTTTACTATTGGAGTCTTAGTCATCTCTTTGCATAGCATCTGCTTATTACAAAACAATCATGACTTGGATGTTCTTGACGAATACATTTCCTTAAACAAAATTTCTCTGTGGATGACCAAATTGGTTTACTCCTGAATACTTTCTTAAATGCATATGATAAGATGGAGGTTGTTTATTGCATAGTTTGGATTCTTTGTTTCAGGCATAACCATCTAAGATGCAATAGCATTCTGATTTCATTGTTCAAACTACTACATCTTGATCAATCCTTCCTCACAAACTATTTTTTTACATTGCAGAATAGAAGCTGTGAAAATTAACCGGCAAGGATTTGAGAAAAGAGTGGTTTCACAAGACCTACAACTTTGGCTCTCAAATGTGAGTTCTGATACTTGCAATAAACATAAATTCTTGTTTGCTATGTTGTGAAATCTATAAATCTTTATTACTATGCAGACACCACCTTCTGAAGGAAAATTCGTTCTTCTTGCCCGTGCTGGAAGACAGGTAAAAAGATCTCAGAACCATTTCTTTACATGCATTTGTATATAGATGGATGGTTCTTTTGTTTAAGTGAAGTAAAAATAATGTTGTAAATTGAACAATTTTCAGGTGCAAGAGATACACTTGACGACGTCTCTGGATCAACAAGGAATCAAGAAAGCATTACAACGAGTACTAGAACGAGTCCCATAAGAGACATTGCTTCTTAGCCCCTAAATCAGCTAATATGCATCTTGCCCAACAAGAGTTGGGTCATCATCATACGCATAATCAAGTGGAGCAGCTACTTAAGAGAAATCTGAAAAAACGGCAATGCAAATTCATTTGTATGTGACACACAACCTATGAAAATATATGTATATGTTGATACTCAATTCACATTATATAAATCCATTTACATGCAACTCATAACGCCAATGTATATTCAAAGATGTATTAAAAACTAAAGAAGCCCATCATCATATTCACGATCTAACCTTCAAGTCAATTATTGACAACCCAAACGAAACAGCTGAGTATCATTAAATAACAGTTTTCAAATGTTTAAATTAGTGGCAAGAATAATTAAGCATGATGATTAAGTAAAATCCTTTTGTTTGTTTCTCCGTTGCACAGCTTTCTTTGTCTTTGAAGTGCACATGCTCCCCTCTCACTCCAATGATTAAACCAGAGGCCAGCTTAAGCACCCTACCCACTTTCACCCATCAAATGTTCCAACATTTACATAATAAAAAGATTCTTCTTCTTCTCCATCTTTTGAACTGTAAAATACTAATTCACTTTATATTTATTATTTAGTTAAAAGTCTTATCATTACTTTCCCTCTATTCTTCTTTTATCTCTGTAATCAGTTAAGAAAAAAAGGGTTCACAGTCTTCTCTTTCCTCTTCCCCATTTTGATTGATCAATCATTCATTCTTCTTCGTTACTAGCTACTTGGTTTCCCTTGTTGTACCTCTGCAAATTTTCTTGACTCATTTCCTTTTTGACGCAAACAAACACCAAAATTGGTTAGCCATTTTTCCAGGAAAATTCAGCATTCATAACTCTGATTCTAAAGAAGTAACAGACAGAGTGTGGTCCTTTTGTTGTTTTATTTCTCTATTTGCTTGTGTTTCAAAATTATCATCTATCTTTCCCATGTAGAAGCAACTTTCTGTCTGATTCAGAATATCGTTACTGATCTCTGGGTTTAACTTGAGAGAATTTTCCCATAGTTTTTTATTGAAATCTAAACCCAATGGAGAAGCAAAGGGAAGAAACCCGAAAGTACTTACCTTTGGGTCAGAGCGATCCCTTTGGGAACGGCAACGATGGAACCATCGGCGATCTCCTCGGTAGATTCACTCAAGAGATCATCTCACCATTGACTCTACAGCCCTTCTCCTACAACCCCCAGATCCGATTCCCGGGTCAGTTCGGGTCGCAACAGACAGGACACGAGAGCAACAACAACAAGAGCTCGTTGCTGGATCCAGACTTAGATCGAGTTCAGACAGCGAAACCAAACTCCAGGAAGAGAAAGTTGGTCCCTGCTTCTGCTTCTGGTAATGGCAAGGAGTCGTCTCCAGCTTCTTCGTCTCTTACAGCTTCCAATTCAAAGGTTTTTCATCTCACAATCTCTCCCTTGCCTCTGAATATTAGAAAGTGTTCTTCTTTATTGGATTCATAAGAGAGAATGAGTTTTAGTTTAGTGCTGCAATATATGAGATTCTCTGAGATGTATGGGGTTTGTTTGTGATCAGGTTTCAGGAGAGATTGTTGGATCCAAAAGAAGCAAGCAGGATGAAGCTGGAAGCAGTAAAAACCTAACAGATGGTTATAAGGATGATGCAAAGCCTCCTGAGCCGCCCAAAGATTACATTCATGTTAGAGCTAGAAGGGGTCAGGCCACAGATAGCCACAGCCTCGCTGAAAGAGTACTCAACACCTTTTAAAACTATATTTCTTTTTTTTTTCCTTTGTGTTTCCATGTTTCTGTTCAAACTTTAGAGTGTTGATGTGTGTTTGGTTATCAGGCAAGAAGAGAGAAGATCAGCGAGAGGATGACTTTGCTTCAGGATCTGGTTCCTGGTTGCAACCGGATCACTGGGAAAGCAGTTATGCTTGATGAAATCATTAACTATGTGCAGTCCTTGCAGAGACAAGTCGAGGTATAATCCCGTGTTCTTATTAAAATCAGAGTTAAATACTTCTTTAAGATATGAAAATATTTGGTCTGTTTTTTCTTCAGTTCTTGTCAATGAAGCTGGCTACTATAAATCCAAGGATGGAGTTTAACTCTAATGCAGCTTTATCCACAGAGGTAAAAGAATATCTTTTTTTTTTTGGCTACAATGTTGCTATTAATGTTCTGTATCAATAATCTGTTGCATCTGTATGTATCTATGTATAGATGATTCAACCGGGCGAGTCATTAACGCAGTCTCTTTACGCTATGGCTTGCTCAGAGCAAAGACTTCCATCCGCATACTATTCTCTTGCTAAGAACATGCCTAGATTCTCAGACACGCAATTCCCCTCCAGCGATGGATTTGTTCAAGCTGAGGTAATTACTTGTTAATGTCATCGATTCTGGAGATGTAGACGTGCTCAAATCCTTTTTGTGTTTTGATTTTCAGACACAGGGATTCTGGGAAAATGATCTGCAAAGCATTGTTCAGATGGGTTTTGGAGATGTTCAGCAACAGAGTAACAACAACAGTTGTAAGAAAAGATTTAGAACCAGATTCTCTAATGAGACAGCTTTAGAACCAGAGTCTCTCATGCTAATAACCTCTTTATGTTTTCAGGTTCTGAGCCAACACTACAGATGAAGCTTGAGCCATGATTAAGAAAGGTGTTTGTTATTGTATCTCTCTGTACATACAGAAACCAAGTAGTGATGGGTACAGAGTGAAACATGTGGGAACACTAATGTTTACTATCGTTTCTTCTTTGCTTGTGCATCTGTTGATTTCTTCTCAACCCAAAGAAAAAAAAAGAGCCTTTATATTGTATGTAAAACGACGAGAATCTTTTCTGGACCATCTCTGTATTGTTTTACCGTTACTATGTATTATTGCTCAACTCGTAAGAAACGGTTATATGTTTTTTCTTTTTTTTTGATCAAAGAAACAGTTATATCTCTTAATTTTTAGCTCCTATATATTATTTCTAGAGCATTATAACATATTTTTGTAGTCACGTGTCACCATCGTAACATTTTTCAGAATCTTAAAAAAAATAAATTGGTCTATATAATTACATATTGTATCTTTTATTAAATTAACTATCCAATTAGTTATTAGTGTACTAAAGAATACTCCCTGTTTCTTTAAATAAAAACTACAAATTATCTAATATGATAACATATATATGACAGTTAATGATTATGAATAATATATATTTGATAACAGTTTTTGTGTTCTTATTCTTTTTGTTTAATTTTATATTATTAAAATAAATTAATAATCACATTAAACATAACAAAAAAAATAATTTGATTCTTATATATATATATATATATATATATATATATATATGTTATATGTAGAATTTTAAAAAATGGTAAAAGTTCCACGTTGAAATTTTTTGATAGAAGGGTTTAACTTTTTTTTGTTCAAATAAGATACAAATGATTAAAAATCGTATGAATTTAAAATATTTTTAATAGATATTAATATTATATATATATATCTCAATATCATTTAAATTAAATTATATAATATATTAAATATATAAATATGTTAATTTCAAGTGGAAATTGTTGAGATCTTAATATTTTAATTTTGAAATTCGTATTGAACAATGTCATAATAAATTTTTGTGATTTATTTAAATTTTTGTTAAAGCATACAAATGTTAATAAAATCATAGGATTCAGAAAGTATCAAGAATAAGTATATATTAAAATATATTACATATATATATATATGTCAATATCAAAAACGTTTAATTATATACCTTATAAGTAAATAAAATGGTTGTTTTGATTTATTTACCAAAACATGATTATAAATTAACAAAATGTATTAGTTTTGATTTCTGTATTATAAATTAACAAAATGTATTAGTTTTGATTTATGTGCTAACTCTAATGTATATACTTTTATGTATACAAATTATTTTTTAAATAAGTAGTTTCAAATATGTTATTTGATCCTAACAATCCGAGAATTACACTTCTTCAAATCGAAGTTATTTTTAATATTAGAAGCACTTTATAATATATATATATATATATATATATATTATTTCATTCAAACTAAATAATTTAATTTTGATATCTATTCCTAAAACATTTTTAATGAAATATCATGACAAGATTTGAGTCACCTCCTTTTGAGTTTGTTCGAAAAATGAGAGATTTCATTCGTTTAATATTTGTGTCTCCATAATACGTAATATAGCTATTATAATTTATCCGAACAAGACTTATGATCTTAGTACTTTGAGATTTAGATATAGTCCGAACCGAACCAAAACCCGAACTAGATCCAAAGATATCTAAAATTAGTATATTTTGTTAATGTTTTTTATAGATCAAGGTAATTTATATATTTTATTTTATTCGAAAGATTTTGTAGTTTTTTTTTTAATTTAATTTTATTTTGAATATCATTTAGTTAGTTTAGATAGTTTAACTAATTTTACATTAGATTTACAAATAATCTACTTTTTGACATTTTGTTTTATCAATTTTGAACTACACTCTTTTTTGTTTTTTCTTTTGTGTGAGACCCACAAAAAGGCCAATGTGGATACACTTATGAATGAGAAAACTGTGTTTCTATTATATAGATTTGAGAATATATTATTTTTTATTTCAAATTGATTTTATGAAACTTTATCCAAAGATTTTCTCTCTTCTATCTTCTAAATCTTTGAGAGAGACAAACAAAGCTTACATCGTTTTTTTTTACTTATTTGTGTATTAGCCGTATTTGGAAGATAAAATTAGGTGAATGGCAATTTCTGGAGGCACGAGGGAAACAGAGTGGGATCTTCTGTGGCTCTTGGTGATTTGATTGACCCTATAGAGTAGATGTTGAACTTCCCAAAACTTGCTGGTTGACCTCTTCCATCTATCCAATAAATCCTAAGCAAATAAACATTAGCAATAACATAGATAAATATATACAAAAGATAACATGGAATTGCCTCCCAAGTGCGCTTGTTTTAAGTCTCTAAGCTTGACTTCCTTTTCGGTTTTTAGGCAGGGATTGGTTGAGAGAGAGGAACCGAAGCTTCCTCACCAATCCCTTGATCGACCATGTAGAGCTTCAAGCATTGACTGTTCACTATAAAATATTCTCCATTCTTTCCTGTCAACATCACAGTTCCATACGGTCTCACTTTCTTTATCACAAAAGGTCATGACCACCTTGGCTTGAGTTTTCTGAAAAATAGCTTCAACCGGGAATTAAACAGTAGCCCTTGGTCACCAACTCTGAATTCTCCCCTCAAGATCTTTTTATAATGGAATTCCTTGGTCTTTTCCTTGTAGATTCTAGAGCTTTCAAAGGCATCCATTCTAATCTCATCAAGCTCATGGAGTTCAAAAAGTCTCTTCTCCTTGGTACTCTTAATGTCAAAGTTCAACAACTTAACAGCCCACAATGCCTTGTACTCAAGCTCAACAGATAAGTGACAAGCTTTCCCATGCACAAGATGGAAAGGTGTGGTTCCCAAAGGTGTTTTATAAGCTGTCCTATATGCCCAAAGAGCATCATCAAGTTTGCTAGACCAATCATTTCTTGTAATTCCCACAACCTTCTCCAAGATGCTATTGATTTCTCTATTGGAGACTTCAACTTGCCCACTTGTTTGAGGAAGATAAAGAGTAACTACCTTATGCTTAACACCATTCTTCTTGAGTAGGCTCTCAAATAATTTGTTTGTTGATGAAATTTGAGCCTCCATCACTTATAACTCCTGGCACCCCAAACTTTATAAAAATCACACTCTTGAACATCTTGAGAAACACTCTGGCATCGTTGGTTGGACTAGCAATGGCCTCAACCCATTTAGATACTGATGTACCATGGATTTTATCCACTATTAGCCATGGTATATAATTATTTTAGAATATATTTACTACAATATAGAGTATTTTTTAGAGTATTTATAGGTTCATGTACGTTCTGGAGAAATATGGTGATTTTGTAGCCTTTTGAGGTGCAGAACTGCACAGACGCGTCGGATGTTTAGCTATGGATGGACACCTTCCCACCGTTAGATTTAGCTCATATTTTGACACAAGATATAGTATTGAGTTTTCTTTCCGATTTCACCAGTCTGAGGTCAATCAGCATCATGTAGCATAGGTTATGCCTGTTTTAATGAAGAGTGGTCAGTCTGCATCGTAAGAGGAAGCTGTCACTCTGCATATCAATCGATATTGATCCCAGAACGCGGGCCGAGCATATTACATGCCTGATTTAGGCCCAGAAGTTACCACAAATTACCAATATGTCCCTGTACGACCTGAAACCCTATTTGACTGTTATCTAAGCCATTGTTGACGGCTATGCTTATTTTTTGTATGGAGAGAGAGCTTTGGATTGGAGAGAGAGATCTAAGCACCTTGAGAGAGGGAAGATATTGAACTCCTTTTGTTTGTTTACTTTACTTTGTCTCTTCATTATTCTATTGCAATATTATTTAGACCATCATAATGTTTCTTATGAATATGTCTGAGTAGTCCTCTTGTTAGATTTAGGGTTCTTCAAAGGTTGATTCTTGGTTTGATAAATATGTGTTTTGTTAGGGTTTACTTAATTAGTTCTTCATCAAATTTATCTTAGGATTGATTGGTACAAGTGAGAGCTTGACATGTTTCCTGAATAAGACAAGTATGATATGATTAGCTAGGTGCATATGAAAGTTGATATAGGTGGTTAGAGAACACATTAAACCCTTTCGCTACAGCCTGCTAAAATTAGTATCGATCGATACTCCATAGGATACATTAATCGATAGTCAATACCAGACATCGATTGACAATCCAGAGCGGACATCGATCGGTACTCCCTTAGGATTCGCATACAAAAGTTGGATTCCTAGGTCTAAGAATCACATAATCTATGCATTAGAAAGTTGATAGATTATGACTTAATAAGTTTGAGTTCGAGAACAATTGATATTCATAAACACTTTATAACCATAAATTGCATACTTATCATACTTGAGAATTTACCTAAATCTAGCTATCTTCCAACTTGTTAACAACCTCAAATCAATCATCTGAGCAACTACCTTGCTCACTTACTGTTTTAAACCATTAAACCAATTTCCATTCTAGCTTTATTTTAAATACTATAATCTATTGTGTAATCTTAGAGTCTCTGTGGATTCGATCCCAAAGTACTACAACTGAACCTCTTATTTGAGAGAGTAATTCAGTCCTTAGGGTAATTTGAGTGATATCAAATTTGGTGCCGTTGCCGTGACTCTTTTTTATTACCATTAGATTAAGTTTAGAATATAGTCTAGATTTTATTTTCTGTTTGCTTAAATTTTTTTCTTCTTATCTGCTGATATATGTACTTTAGAAGAGGAACACAAGTTTCGGTCGAGCATCTATCGATAATATGATGAACACATCGAGTGACACATCGACAGACAAAGTGATCGACACATTCAAGCCAGAATCGATTGACGAGGATACACAACAATTGAGCGACGCGAGACTACACAAATTGATCGATACCAACCGGCCAGAAACAGGTAAGTCTTTTCTTACCAATTTCAATATAAGAAAAGTAGTTCTAAGAGACTCAAAGGGTCGCGTATGCAACGCATCCGATCAAATTAATTATAAACATAGCGCTACAATTCCTGTTGGAGTAGCTATTGCTATGAATGCTGGATTGGAA